TGCAGCTGCAATGGCTGCTGCTGCTGCTGCAGTGGCTGCTGCTGCTGCATCGATTGCTGCTGCTGCAAATGTTGCTGCTGCTGCAATTGTTGTTGTTGCTGCAGTTGTTGCTGCTGCTGCAGTTGTTGCTGCTGTTGCAGTTGCTGTTGCTGTAGTTGTTGCTGCTGCTGCAGCTGCTGCTGCTGCAGCAACGGTTGCTGCTGCTGCAGCAACTGTTGCTGCTGTTGCGCCTGCTGCTGCTGCTGGAGCAGGTGTTGTTGCTGCTGGATCTGCTGCTGCTGCGGTTGTTGCTGCGGCGGGGTCACTGTTGCTGTTGCCGGTGTAGCTATCCCGCTTGTGCTGCTGCTGCTGCTGCTGCTGCTGCTAGTGTTAGCCGCTGCAGTAGGCTCGCGGTGAGTAGGGAGCATGTTTGCTGCCTTAAGCTGCTGCTGCCGTTCTTCTCTGTTGCGTTGGAGCTGCTGCCTCTCGAACTCTGGCAGCCTTTTGAGTGCATCAAAGGTAGCAGCAACCTGCTGCTGCTGCTGCTGCTGCTGCTTGTGCTGCTGCGCTTCTGCTTCTGCTGCACTGAGGTCTTTGCTGCTGATGCACCCAACTAAATACATTGCATAAGTAGCAGCAAACGCCAGAGAAGGATTATCCGTTAGAAAACGGCGGCAGCGGTGGGGCTGCTGCAGCGCGAGCTGCTGCAGCGCATGCAGCAGCAGCAGCAGCTGCGAGGTGGACATACACTGCATAAACTCGCAAACAAATGAAGGCAGCATACCAGGTGCAGCAGCAAAAGGATCAGAAGGAGCATAACCCATCAGAGAAGCAGCAGCTGCTGCTGCTGCTCCCCCGTCCCTACCCCCTGGAACAGCAGCAGCAGCAGCAGCTGCAGCAGCAGATCCAGCTAGCCTGCTCTTGCCTCCCCGGGCCTCCTGTTTTGTTCCTCCTCTATCCCCTGCAGCAGCAGCAGCAGCAACAGCAGCAGCAGCAACAGCAGCTGCAACAGTAGCAGCGACAACATAATTACAGGCAGAGGCAGCAACAGTAGCACGGGCATCATTAACAGCATAAGCAGCAGCATTAGCATAAGCAGCAGCAACAGCAGCAGTTGCAGCAGCAACAACAGTTGCTTACACTTTTGGTCTCTGGTTTGGGGGTTTGCTGCTCCTGCTGCTGCAGCAGCAGAAGCAGCAGCAGGGGGCCCCCCTCCTGTTCCATACATTTCTCGCATTTCTGCTGCTGCCCAGTCGAGCTTCAGCCGCCTCCCTCTCAGCTCAATCGGTTGCTGCTGCTGCTGCTGCAGCAGCAGCAAGCAGCTTTCTACATCGGGGAAATCAACAAAGCCAAACCCCTTTGACTGCCCTGCGCACAAACCCCAAACCCTAAACCCTAAACCCTAAACCCTAAACCCTAAAGCGCGTCTCGAAGGTCTCCGTAGCAAGCGGGCGAGGCACCCGCTACCTCTGCAGTTCTCTCGCTAGCCACGGGTAGCTAGCTCGCTAGCTAGCTAGCTAACAAGGTATCATTTAGCTAGCTAGCTAGACAGCTGACTCAGCATCATATCTATCTAGCTAGCTAGGTCCTCAGTTCCCCATCTACCTACACATCTATCTATCTATCCATATAGCTAGCTAACTAGCTAGCTAGCTAGCTAGCCACATAGCTAGCTAGCTAGCTAGCTAGCTAGCTAGGTGAAGCATGCATTAGAGCGTACCTGACTCAGCATCATACTTAACTCGAACGCCCAGCACTCTACCGGCGACAGACAGCGCTGCTTTTAATTCCGCTTCAGAGGCCTCAAAGGGGATATTACCGACCCATAGTTGGAACGCACAGTGCCCAGGGGGCCCCCCGGGGGCCCCCTCCATGTTCTCCTGCTGCTGCTGCTGCTGCTGCTGCTGCTGCTGTTGCTGCTGTTGCTGCTGCTGTTGTTGTTATTGCTGCTGCTGCTGCTGTTGATGTTGTTGCTGCTGTTGATGTTGCTGCTGCTGCTGTTGTTGTTGTTGTTGCTGCTGCTGATGAATGTTGTTATTATTGTTAATACTTCTGTGCTGCTGTTGTTGGTGCAGAGGATGCTGGCAACGGGGCTGCTGCTGCTGCTGCTGCTGCTGCTGCTGCTGCTGCTGCTGCTGTTGGTAGTGCTGCTCTCCAGCTGGTGATTATGCTTTTTTTATATTTGATGCTGCGGCTGCTGCTGCTGATAGACCTGCGGCTGCTGTTGGTAGCACTGCGGCTGCTGCTGCTGCTGCTGCGGCTGCTGTTGCTGCTGCTGGGAGTGCTGCTGCGTGCTGCTTCTAAGCCTTCATTTATCTGCATTTGCAAAATAAAAGAAAATTAAAAACGAATTCTGCAGCATGGGGCTTTTTGAGGTGTACGCAGCAGCAGCAGCAGCAGCAGTCGCAGGGCCCACGCTGCATGCATGCATGCATGCATGCATGCATGCAGAAGTTTGTTGACTTTTCTACGTTGTTAATTATAATAAAAAACAGAAAATAATTGCAAATACTCCGTCTCCCAATGCAGCAGCAAGGAGGTGTTGGTCGTGCTGCTACTACTACTGCTGCTGCTACTGCTGCTGCTACTGCTACTGCTACTGCTGCTGCTGTTGCTGGTCCTGCTAGCCCTGGTGTTGCTGCTGCTAGTTCTGCTATCGCTGCTGTTGCTGCTGCTAGTTCTGTTACCGCTGCTGCTGCTGGTTCTGCTGCCTCTGTTGCTGCCAATCTAGTTGCTGCTGCTGCTGCTGCTGCTGCTGATGTGGCTGCTGCTGCTGGATACACACAGAAGAAGGCAAATTTTGTTAGACAAAATATCTGTTTCTTTTTTAAAGTTATAATTTGAGTTATTAGTATTAATAGAAACTTAGCGGAATATGATGAAAAAAACAGCTATCAGGGCAACTGCACAAGAACCGGCTAGTTAGTTAGCTAGCTAGTTAGCCAGCTACCTAGCTGGGTGGCTGCGTGTCTAGCTAGCTAGCTAGCTGGCTGGCTACGTGTGTAGCGGACTAGCTAGCTCGCTAGCTAGCTAGCTGTGTGGCTGTCTAGCTGGCCTGTCTCGCTAGCTAGCGTCTTATGTATCTAGCTAGCTAGCTAGCTAGCTAGCTAGCCTGTTCGCTAGCAGCAGGAAAGAAGGTAGAGAAGCAACAAACAAAGACAGCAACTGTCTGAAAACTTAATAAATAGTTGCATGCATGGGTCTCGTCTTCTTTTGCTTGCATGCGAGGCTGTTGATCTTAAGCGAGGAGACAATTCAGGTGGGGCGCTAGAGACAGAGTTTGTCTCCACTGTCTCCTTTTACTTAGGCTGTCTCCTTACACTGAGCCTGCCTTCTTTGTCTCCTTCTATTGAGACTGTCTCTGTCTCCTTACACAGAAGGTGCTGTCTCTCTCTATGTGTCTGTCGCTGTCTTTATCTGTCTCTGTCTCCTTACACCGATTCAGTCTCTGTCTCTATATTAGATATGTCTCTGTCTTTATTTCTGTCTCCTTAAGCTGTCTCTGTTTCTATATCCCTGTCTCTGTCTCCTTAAACAGAGTCTGTCTCTGTCTCCGTCTGTGTTGCTGTCTCTGTCTGTCTCTGTCTCCTTAAGGTGAGTCTGTCTCTCTTTCTGTCTCTATTTCTGTCTCTGTCTCTTTATACAGGGTCTGTCTCTGTCTTTGTCTTTGTCAGTGCCTCTTTAAGCTGTCTCTGTCTCTGCTTCTGTCTCCTTAAGGCGAATCTGTCTCTATTTCTGTCTCTGTCTCCGTCTCTGTCTCCTTATACAGGGTCTGTCTCTGTCTCTGTCTGTCTCCTTAAGCTGTCTCTGTCTCTGCGTCTGTCTCTGTCTCTGACTCTGTTCCTGTCTCTGTCTCCCCAGACATAATTTAGTGTCTCCTCGACTTGCGTTGTAGGCCCTCTTGCTGCAGCCTTTAGGAGGCCTGGAGTCTGCTATGGGTTTTAAAGCTGCATAGTAGCTAGCTAGCTAGCTAGCTGCTTAGAGAGCTGACCAGCTAGCTCGATAGCTGCCTATAGAGCTGACTGGCTAGCTAGCAAGCAGGATAGCTAGCTCGTTGCATAGCTAGCTAGCTAGCTAGCTCTCTAGCTAGCTGCCGCTCTGTTTGTGCATGCAAAGAAATGAAACCACCAAAGACAGCGGCAACTAAAGAAAACCGCAGCAACAACAACACGAACAAAGAGACAGAGACAGATTTTATAAAAGGAGACAGCTGAGCAGATAGATAGACAGATAGACAGAGACATATTAAAGGAAATAGAGACAGGCTTTATATAAGGAGACAGACAAAGACATATTCTGGTTGACTACCGCGCTGCCAGGGGCTCGCTGTTTGGTGGGGTAGCTAGCTAGCTAGGTGGCTAGCTAGCTAGCTAGCTAGCTAGCTAGGATCCCCTAGCTAGCTAGCCAGCTAGAGGAGGGCAGCGACAGAGAGAAGCTGAAGCAGAAGACAAACAACAGTGTTTCTGGGATTGCTCGTTAACGCTTGAATAGGCGGAGTTGGGATCGAGCTGCAACAGACAAACCCTAAACCCTAAACCCTAAACCCTAAATTCTAAACCCTAAACCCTTAACCCTAGGCCCTGTATCCTAGACCCTAGAGCCTACGCCTAAAACCCTAAACCCTAGCCCTCTGAAGTTGCTGTGAGTTTGAAGATTTTTTTTGTGTCTCTGTTTCGCTGTCTCCTTAGCTTTTTACTGCTGCACGAGGAAGGAGACAACAGCTATTTGGGGTGTATAGGCACCTCACCGGTACCCTCATAAGCCTAAAGCAGCATTAATTAAAATAAAAGATTTAAATAAACCAGATGAACTGAAAATAAGAAGAGACAATAGAGGGAGACACACAGAGAGCAGCAGCAAACAGCAGATAAACAGCAGCAGACAGCAGAGACCATCATACACTGATCCTTCTCTTTATTTTTATAATTTGTTCGCTATTAATTAGTATTATTTAAATGCTATTAACAATTAATAACAAAGTTTTCACTTAACAAAGCCCAAAAGACACCGCACGATACACCAGACGCGAGCAGCAGCAGCAGCAGCAGCAGCAGCAGCACGAGCAGACTCGTCAATGGCTGCAGCAGCAGACCAGCGTAACAGACCCTGTTTTCGCTGCAAACACAATAAAATGCTTGTTTAAATGAAAATAATAGTAGAATTAATATAAATAATCTAAAAAAGAATAAAATAATAGTTTTTTATGCGAGAGATTTATATAATGCCCAGCATCTGTAGCGGTCTCAGTGGAGAGGCCGCCAGCGTCGGCGCTGCTGCAGCAGCAGCAGCAGCAGCAGCAGCAGCAGCAGCAGCAGCAGCAGCAGTTGCGTCTAAATACAGCAGCAAATGCATAAATAATATTAATAATAAGTATTATAATTAATATTATTTTAAATATATTGATGAGAGAGAAACCTAAAGAGCTAAGGGCTTCGACAGCGGGCTAGCATGTGTGTCTAGCCAGCAGCAGCAGCAGCAGCAGCAGCGGGAGCAGTTTGCTGCTGTTGCTGCATGCCCTACTTCACCGTTTGGAGCCAGGTGTATGTCTGTGTGTTTATTTAATATTAAATTTGAATCAAATGTATTGTTTTAATAGTAATAAACCCTAAACCCTCTCGCGCTGCTGCACAGAGCTGCATATACACTGCAACACCAGCGGGAGACTGGAGCCTCAACCGACTCTGCCGTCTCTATGATTATCTCTGCACAACACCACCACACATCATTTGCTTAATTTGAGGTGTACGTACACCTCAAGTCTGTCTCCTTGTGTCTCCTTTCAAATTCGTCTCCCCTGTGAGGGGGGCAGTAGCAGCTTGTGCTGCTGCTGCTGCTGCCGTGGGAGCTGCGGCTGCTGCAGCGCGGGCCTTCGGCTCTATGCTGCATTAGCAGCAACAAGCAACAGCACCAGCAGTAACAGCAGCTGCATCAACAGCAGCAGCAACAACAGCGGCTCTGTAGCAGCAACAGCAGCAACAGCAGCTGCAGCAGTAGCAGCAACAACGGTTCTGCAGCAGCAACAGCAGTAACATCAGCTGCAGCAACAGCAGCAACAGCTGCTGCAGCAGCAGCAGTTACAGCAGCAACAACAGCAGCAGCAGCAACTCCTACCTCTGATATTCCATATGTGGTAGCTCTGGCAAGGCGGGAAGAAGGAGGTGTTCCAGCAGCAGCAGCAGCAGCAGCAGCAGCAGCAGCAGCAGATGGGGCCTCATCCAGACCGCATATCTACTGGGCGTCTGTACACCCCATTGCGTCCTGTAGACCCAGCAGAAGACGAAGACATTGAGGCGCTGTCGCGAGAGTTTGCTGCTGCTTCTCCTGCTGCACCATCTGCAGATCCTAGGAGTCTCCCTTCCCCAGATGCAGCAGCAGCAGCAGCAGCTGCTGCTGCAGCAGCAGCAGCAGCAGCACACAGTCATTCCAGTGGGGGGCATGGGGGTATTGGTTCGTTCTCTTCGCGTTGGCAGCAGCAGCAGCAGGAGTTGCCGGGCAGCAGAAGCAGCAGCAGCAGCAGCAGCAGCAGCAGCGCCGGAATATCTCCTTTTGAAATATACACCCCTTTAGGGTCTTCTTCTGCTGCTGTTAGTGAAAGGGTGTTGGAGACAGTAGAAGGAGGGGCTCGGTTTCTTGCTGCTCCTATACCTTCTGCTGCAGCAGCATCATCTGCAGCAGCAGCAGCAGCAGGGAGACACCGCCCGGGCGTTTCATTTGATAGAGCAGGGGGTGTCTCCTTTTCAAGACAGGAGACAGCTGCACTGCAGCACCAGCTGAGCAGCAGTCCAGCAGCAGCAACAACAGCAGCAGAGAGACAGGAGGGACAGCTGGGGACAGACTTCATGAAGACTGTTCCTCAAGCAGCAGGTGTGCCTCTAAATGCTACAAGAAGAGGCGGCCGACGTGTTTGTTTGGTGGGGTTGTTGCTGCTGCTGAGTGTTGCATGCAGATGGGCTTGGGGCTGGCGTAAGGAGACAGTATACACTGGAGAGGTGCCGCTAGAGACAGGAAAAGATGTGTCTCTAAACCTTAAAAACTGCAGCTTACGTTTCTTATCCACAGAAGAAGACAGCAACAGCAGCAGCAGCAGCAGCAGCAGCAGCTACCTGAGGGTGCGGGCGTGGCTGCAGCAGCGGTCTCAAGCACAAGCTAATCTACCTGTGCTTCGTAGAGGAGCTGAAGGGACTGTACATTTGCTGCTGCACATGCAAGAGTTAAGCGACTGGTATAGATGCTCTGTTGAGGTGTATGTACACCCGGAATATCGTTTCGGGAAGCTGGCGGTGTTTGCTGCACCTGCAGATAGATATTTACCTGTCTCTTCTTCAGTACCCTTAAAAGGAGACAGTGTCTCCTTTGTCGCTCATCATGCATACATTCGGCTGCTATCAGTTGAAGCCCCGCATATATCTTTTACTCTTAACTCAGGCTTACTAAGCTTTTGCTTGGATGGGCGGTCTGCTTCATATGGTAGATCTCCTGTACAAGTGCTAACACGTACAGCTGAAGTACATATAGAGTCTTTATATCCTTTACGTATGTCTATGCGAGAAGAGACAGCTGCTGCTAGTCTCTTTAGAGCAACTGGGGGTGTCTCTGTCTCCTTTGCTGCTAAAAAGGAGACAGGAGACAGCAACGACGGAGAGAGAGAAGCAGTTGCTGTGCTGCACCCTGCAGATGTCTCTTCACTCTTCTTGGGGTTTCTAAGCGTTGAAGTTAATATAGAAGCAGAAGATTCAAGTGTATATGCAACATCAAGAGGAGACAAAGAAGACTCACAAGCCCCACTGCATGCATGGGCAGGGAGACAGCAGCAGCAGAAGCCTCATCTAGATGAGTACTCACTGCAGCAAGTACATACTGTATTAGAATCTTTAAGAGAAGATGCTGCTGCTCCTTGGGTGTTATTAATAGAACAAGCAGGTCTAGCAGCAGCAGCAGCAACAACAGCAGCAGCAGGGACCTGGAGGATCCTCAGCACTAATGCATATCTACGATCTGTCTCCTGGTTTGTTATGCTCTCTGGGGGCATGCTTAAACCAAGGGTTGTAAGACTGCCTCTGCAAGTAAGGGGTCTCTTCTGTAGAGTGCATATTGATGAAAGAGACGATACGCTTCCTGACATTGTAACAGCATCAGAAGATTCTTTGCTGCAGTCTCTTATTAAATGGATTAGCCCTAAGGAGACAGTTGTCTCCGTAGGAGACAGGTTGCATGCTTTCCTCAGCAGAGACACCCCTCAACAGACACAACATACAGCAGATCAAACAGACATATCAATACCCCCAAACCCTAACACACAAACAAAATATCAAACCCTAGCAGGAAACAAACCCGTGCAGCAGCAGCAGCAGCAGCAGCAGGGCGAGGATCATCCCCAGGCACTGTCTCCTGCAGTAAATGCTGCAGCGAAAGACAATTCAGGCGATCCCAATGCAGAGACACAGGTAAGCACAACCCACATAAAAGGAGACATATATATATATATATATATTTATTTATTTATTTGTTTATTTGTCTCTTATTGTTTATTTGTTTCTTATTGTTTATTTATCTCTGTTCAGGCTTCTCCTGCTGTCCCTCGTCGTCTTGCTGCCTCTGGAGGTGTCTCCTCAGGTGTCTCCTCAGGTGTCTCCTCAGGTGTCTCCTCAAGTGTCTCCTCATCTTTTGTGGGTTCATATGTGGGGTTAATAAAAGGGTCTTCTCACTGTATGGAGGATATAATTGAAGATAATTTTCTTGTTTTGTGGGGGGCCCTCTCAGAGCTGCGCATGCAGAGCACTTTGTTTGTTTGGAGTCGGAGTCAGCTGTCTCCGCAGGTTAGATTCTTCGTACGTAACGATGCACTCATCAAAGTTAATGTCTCGTAAGTCCTTTCCTCCTCCTCCTCCTCCTGCTGCTGGTGCTGCTGATGCTGCTGCTTCTGCTGCAAATGCTGACGCTGCTGATGCTGCTGCTGCTGGCGGTGGTGCTGATGCTGCTGCTGCTGCTGCTGCAGCAGAAGTACAGTGCTGCAGCAGCATCACCGCAACAGAAAGTGCCTCCGGCATTTGTTGTGTGTTTCTCCATAGGATCTGGTTAGGGTTTAGGGTTTAGGGTTTAGGGTTTGGGGTGTATGTGTGTGCAGGCTGCGAGACACTTGGTCTTTTGTAGTAGCGATAGCAATTAGCATTGTCGGGGCTTTGCTGCTGGCTTTTGCTGCGGTGTATTTTTGTTTTTCTTCACTTTTACCTCGTCTTAAGAAAGAACAAACAGATGCTGTTGTTATGCGCGCTGCTTCTCATAGGCTTGATCACGAACTCCCCTGTTAGACGCCTCTTCTTGCTGCTGCTGCTGCTGCTGCTTGTCCTGCTGCTGCTGCTGCTGCTGATCCTGCTGCTGCTGCTGCTGCTGAGCCAGCTGGTACCTCTCGTCTTGTTCCTCCTTCTGCTGTTCCTCCTTCTGCTGCTGCTCCTTCTGCTGCTGCTGCTTCTGGTGCTGCTGGAGTGTATATGATAGTTATAGATGTTTTGTTTTGTGTTTGTTTGATGTTGCTGCAGCTGCTTTGCATGCAGCAGAAGGAGCGAGGTGGAACTTAATGGTAGTTCCTGTTTGTTTTCCTAGCAACGGTGTTTTGCTGCGGTGGTCGTTTGAAGAAAAGCAGCAAACTGCTGCATGGCTGGGGATACACCTGAGACCTGCAGCAGCAGCATGGGCGGAAGCAGCAGATGATTTGCGGTGTCTGCAGAGGTGCAGCAGAGAAGAAATATATATTTATTTAAACTCTGCTAAAATTACTAATGTACAAGAATATGGATTAAATCAAAGAGAGTTATTCTTACCAGCTAAACACCCAGGCACACACTTTATCGATACAGCGCAGCATTATGAGCTGCAGATACACCGCAAATATCATGCAAGATTGATATTTTTTAGTACTCAAGGAAGATTAATTGAACAAAGCCGTTGGTCTCCAGAGTTTATGTTAGAGTCTCCACCCTCATTTTTAACCTTCTCTCTTCTTCTATTAAAGAAGTCTATCCAAACAAATGTCTCTTCTTTAGATATCTTCCTGAGAAAGTTTGCAGCCCCCGCAAGACGATTCTCTATACCCGTTGAGCTTCATGATTTACAGATGCATATCTTTGCTGTTCCATGCGCTGAACAACACAACAACCCCACTTACAGGTATGCACAAACCCTAAACCCTAAACCCTCATATCAAGCAATAGTCAGACCTATACGTCTCCACAAACCCTAAACCCTAAACCCTCATATCAAGCAATAACCCCACAAAACCCTAAACCCTCACATCAAGCAATAACCACACTTACAAGTCTCTGTACAGCACAGATAGATAACCCGAACCGAAACTCTAAACCCTAAACCCTAAACCCTCAGACAAAACAACAACCCCACATTCAGGTCAGCAGACACCCCAAACACCAATCCCCAACTTGCTACCAAACCCTAAACCCTCTACTTGCTAATTAAATTTCTAATAAACAATCATAAACAGTATGCTGAGGATACAAACCTATCACGGCCGTGCATGAGGGGCAACGATGGACCCTCGAGGGTTTAGGGTTTAGGGTTTGGGCTCTAGGGTTTAGGGTTTAGGGGTAATGGTTTATATTCAAAGCTGCAAACCCAATCCTCAGAACATCCTCATCGCACTCTCTCTGCGGACAAGCGCTGCTGCATCTGCTGCTGCTTCTGCTGCAGCTTCTGCTGCTGCTTCTGCTGCAGCTTGTTGAGTTGTGTTTGTTAAATAGTTGTGGGGTGTACGTACAGCTCATTGGCGAGGCGTCGCTCGGATTCATTTCGCTCGATTTGTTCTTCAAATGTTTTGTCGGAGTTTAGAACAGCAATGCAGCAAACTGAGTGCAGATTTGTTGTTGCTGCGCACTTTGGGCTTAAAGCACACAGCGTAAACAACACATATTCATAATCATCTGCTGCTGATTCTGCTGCTGCTGCTGATTCTGCTGCTGCTGCTGATTGTGCTGCTGTTTATCCTGCTGCTGCCGTTGATCCTGCTGCTGCTGCTGTCGATCCCTGTGCCGCTGCTGGTGTTGATCCCGCTGCTGCTGCTGTTGACTCTGCTGCTGCTGCTGATCCGGCTGCTGCTGCTGCATTTATTCCTGGTGCTGATACAAATTCTGATGGAGATGCTGTGACGTTTGCTGATGGTGCTGCTGCTTTAAGTACGTGTTTAGTAGCCTTGCATGCATTCGCATCCATGCATGCATGCATGCATGCACACTTCATACATGCATATATGCATTTACATGCATACATGCATACATGCATGCATGCATGTATGCACACTTCCATACATGCATACACGCATCCGCATGCATTCATTTGCATGCATGCATTTGCATGCATGCATCCGCATGCATGTTTATTTGGGGCTTTGTGCATGTGCTGCTGAGGTTTCAGGCCCGAGAGTCTGCAGTGCGCACCGGGCGTCGCGTTTACTCGGAAGTTACTTTTCGAGGAAAACCCAAAATTGCACCGCCAGAAGATATGCATGAAGCTGATAGACAGGTGCATGCATGCTGCATGCATGCAGATGCATAAAGATGCATGCATGCAACAAGTAGCCCATGCTTGCATTCATACAGATGCATGCAGATGCATGCATACAACAAGTAGCGCATGCATGCATGCATGCATGCATACAGATGCATGCATGTATGAGCAAATTCTTTAATGTTTGGGGTGTATATGGAGCTATTGGCTGGTGGGGTGTTTATTTGCTGCGTATATTAAGTTGTTTGTTGCAAGTATCCCTGCATATTTCCTGGTGTACTTGTTCCTGCTCTTGCTGCTACTGCTGCTGCTGCTGCTGCTGCTGTGTATGCTCAGCCTTATGTTTACTTAACATGCCCTGGGCAGCAGCTGCTGCTGCAAAGGGATCGCATTGGTCATAATGCAATCGGCTTTGAGGTGTCTGATGAGGAGACAGGTCAAGTTCTTGCTTTCGGTTTCATTCGCTTTGAAGACCTTTATAATGTTGTTAAAGATGCAACTCAAGACCCCAGAAATGCAGGTAAAACTAACGATGCATGCACATGCATGCATCTGACGTTGGCAAAGCGAGCATTTCCTTGCATGCATATGCATGCATGCATGCATATGCATGCATATTTCTGCTAATACTGATGCACACCTATGCATGCATGCATGTATTTTTAATCATGCATGCAATGGGTTTGCGGTGGTTGTGGGGTGTCTCCTCAGGTGGGGTGTCTCCTCAGCACCGGCGTTTTCGTGTGGGGTTGGAGCATGTCGATGGACGGGGCCCTTGGGGGCGTTTGGAGTGCAGTTTAGATATAACGCACATTAAATACTTTATCCGGTATGTCTTCAGGTGTCTCTTCACCTCTTTTACTCGCATATATATAATATATTTATTTATATATACTTATATATATGTATATATATTCTATTTCCTTTATATTATATTCTAGCGAGTTGTTCGGGTGTATCCTCACCTCTTGTGCTGCTGTTGTTGCTGCTGCTGCTGCTGTTTCTGCTGCTGCTGCTGTTTCTGCTGCTGCTGCTGCTGCTGCTGCTGCTTAGGCATGAAGAGAAGGAAGAGGAGCAAGATGTGTCTCTCTTTCAACGAAGAAGAGCGAGAAAGAAAACAGACTTCCAGCCAATGGGCGCCGCCTTAGCTGCGCGCTCTGCTGCACGCATACGCGAAGAACCCACCCATGGTGAGGAGGAGACACTTATAAAGGAGACACTTAAGGAGACACTTATGAAGGAGACACTTATAAAGGAGACACTAGTACAGGAGACACTTATACAGGAGACACTTATAAAGGAGACACTTAAAAAGGAGACACTTATACAGGAGACACTTATACAGGAGACACTTATACAGGAGAGACTTATAAAGGAGACACTTATAAAGGAGACACTTATAAAGGGGACACTTATAAAGGAGACACTTATTGAAGGAGACACTTATTAATGGAGACACTTACTAGAGGAGATACTTCTTAAAGGAGACACTTAAACGGCGCAGAAACTCAAATGCATTGCTTACATCGCCAGAGGGGAATCTGTGTCTCTGGATATCTTTGCATTGTTCTTGCTGCTGCTGCTGCCTTCTGCTGCTGCTGCCTGCTGCTGCTGCTGCCTGCTGCTGCTGCTGCCTGCTGCTGCTGCTGGTGCTGCAGAGGCAGCTCCTTCTCGACGTACGCGTTTTGCTCGAGTTGAGGGGACAGCAGAAGAACTCGCGTCCCAGTTGGGGTTGGCGGAGACACCGTCTCCTGCTCCTTCTGCTGCTGCTGCTGCTGCAGCAGCAGCAGCAGCAGCAGCAGAGCCCCCGCGAGGAGGCAGCACCAGCAGATCAGCACTACGCAAAACAAGACGGAGTGTAATTACTCCTCTAGAAGCAGATTCTCTTCAAGGTTTGTTTGTGCAAACCCTAAGCAGCATTATTTGTAAACCCTAATAAAAGAAAACCCTAATTAACTCTTGTAAACCCTAATCAGCAGTATAATTATAAACCCTAATCCGCATGCATTCATTATAAACCCTGATGAGAATTAATTATAAACCCTAATCAGCATTAATTATAAACACCAGTGAACAACTGTAAACCCTCAACAGCATTAATTTATAAACTTTACAGAAAACAAAAACCCTCTTTACATCCGCATTAATTATAAACCCTAAAAAGCACTAAAAGACTAGCAATAACAACAACAAACCCTAATCAAGTTAGAACACCAACCTGTAATTTGTTTAATTTGTTTTGTTTACTATTTTAATTGCTGCTAGCCCTATATATATATAATATGTGAATGCTTTTCTGCTGAATGCATGTGTGCGTGTGTGTGTATGTGTATTTGTTTGTTTGTTTGTTTGTTTGTTTGCATGCATGGATGCATGCAGTGCCTTTATTAGGAGCAGGAATAGAAGGGAGTGTGTCTTCATTAGGTGTACGTACACCTCGTGTATCTGTTGCATTTGGAGACACTCGACGTATGTTTTCTGTCTCCTGTTCTCCTCCTTACTTCATTAGAGACAGCCCTGGCCGCCCAGTTCTGCAGGGCTCTGATTTATTTGTACAGTGGTGCTGGGGCGAGTCTCCTTCAAGACCTGAGAATATATATATCGGACTATTTTATCATACAACAAATCAATTCATCTTTCCTCTTCACTGGAGTAGACCTATTCCTAATACAGGAAGTTATGCTTGGCATGTTGATACACACTTTAGAGTAAGTCTATATATATATAATATATATATATTTGTTTATGTTTATATAAATATAAATATAAATATAAATGTAAATGTAAATATAAACACAAATATAAACATACACATAAACAGAAAATTATATATTTTTATTTATATGTAAGATTGCTTGCATATTGATGCATATATATATATATATATGCATTATATATATATATATATGCACTGTATATATGTATTCATAAACATATATCTATGCCTATCTATGAAAATGCATAAATGCATGCATGAATGCATGCATGCATTTATGCATTTGCATGCATGCATGAGTTTACATGGATGCATATAAGGGCTTTTTGTGTGAGGCTTGTTTTGCGGTATTTGTTTGTGGGGTTTGTTGTTGACTATTTTGTATTTCTGTTTGTTTGTTTATTGTTTTCTGCATTTGTTTGTTATTTGATTAGTTTGTTATTTGATTAGTTTGTCATTTGTTAGTTTGTTATTTGATCGGTTTATTGTTTGGTTAGTTTGTTATTTGTTTGCTTGAACTTTTAAATTATTTAGTTGTTTGTTAATTGTCTTCTTCATTTGTTTGTTATTTAATTTGTTTATTGTTTTCTTGTTTTGTTTATTATTTGGTTTATTTGTTTATTATTTTGTTGCTTTATTTGTTTATTGTTTGAATGCTTGAATTCTTTATGCTTTTACTGATTTATTTGTTTATTATTTGATTATTTTGTTTGTTTTTTTATTTCTTCAGAACGGAGAGGCCTGTCAGTTGGTGTATTTGGCTATGTTTGACTATGCACTGGGCGAAGAGCCTACACCAACTGACGCTGTCTGTCAGTCTAATGCATTTTATATTGTTAAACCCACTCCTTTATGTGAATTAGAACTCAGATATGCCTCCTTCTGTAGAACACACGGACTCGAAATGGAAGTAAGATCTACGGTTTAGGGTTTACGGTTTACGGCTTAGGGTTTAGGGTTTAGGGTTTAGTGGTTGGGGGTTGGGGGTTGGCGTGTGGGGTTTAGGGTTTAGGGTTTAGGGTTTAGGGTTTAGGGTTTAGGGCTTAGGGTTTTGGGTTTAGGGTTTAGGGTTTATGATTTGGGGTATAGGGTTAGGGTTTAGGGTTTAGGGTTTGGGGTATAGGGTTAGGGGTTTAGGGTTTATGAAGTATTATTTGTTTTAATTTTGTGGTTGATTTACTGTTTATATAAGTTAGTACTTTTCTTGTTTATATTACAGTTTGCATTGTTTGTCTTTTGTCTCCTCTCTTTCATCCATCATTTTTAATTTATGAGTTGTGTTTGTTTTATTACAGTGCATTGTTTTGTCTATAAATATATACATATATACATATATATCCATAGATATAAATATAAATCAATATATATATATATATATATATATATGCATATATATATATATGCATATATATACAAATATATATATATATATAT